TAACCAGTTGTCAGGATCATGCTTATGCTCATCATCATCATTAACATTATCGTTTTTATCGTCATATAACATTATCATTATCATCATCATCACCTTTACTATCATGATCATCACCATGTTCATCATGATCATCATTGTATACATGTCTATATAACTTCTCCCATTCTCAAATCTATCATAAGACTTAGACAGACCACCTTATTCGTCTTCGTGACGAATTAAATTCTAGTTATTATTATTATTATTATTATTTATTTTTATTTCTCCCCGTTTTTTGTTCATCGGTTAAATCAAGATCGGTTGTGTTAATTTCTTTCAATTTTGACACAGTCATAGGTCATTGTCATGAGACGTGACAGTAACCTTTTCAAGGTCATCAGGTCATCGTGACGTCATCCAGGCGCCATTTTGTGAAATCACGTTATCCATCATATCTTCATGATGCATAAGCAAAGGTCATTCATATTCATATCACATATACTTCATGTCAAGGGTCAACAAGTAATGTCATCAAAGGTCACATAAAGGTCATGACGCGCACGTACGCGCGCGTCAAAATTTTAAAATGCTCAAAATCACTTAACTATTAAACGAGAGTACGAATCAGGTCATTTTAAGCATTTCAAAATTTTCCGTCCGTACATGTCCCCGCGCGCGTTGCGCGCGCTCATGACGCGCGGAAAAAGTCAAATTCAAAATGTTTACATGATTTGGATTCCTCTTAACGTAATTGACAAGTTACATTGATTTCGGTCACTCTTCATATTTCATAAGGCCGTGAGCGTGCGTCAAAGTTCGAAACCCGCGCGTGCTGCTATCGGCAATATAATGCAAATTTCATCAAAAACATGCCATTTTAAAAATCGAAATAGCTCTTCAGATAGTCCATCGACCCCCAATTTTTATATCATGGTTGGAAAAAGCATGAGTTGTAGATATGATTTCATACCACCCTGACTCGTACAAAGTGAAACAAAGTCATCATATTGGCATCTAAACTCAAACAAATGTTTTTTGTTGATGACGTCATTTTTGTCTTTGTTTAATTGAGATTATCTCACGTATCGGTGATCGATTTTCACCCAGATTTTAATATGTTGTTGCTGAGATAATTTTCTATCAGAAATTTGTCATATATTATCATTAAGATGACGTCATCATAGTAAAATATTCGATTAAAGGCGGCAATGCATAATTTGTCATATTTGCGTGTTATGTCTATGGGAGGTCACTTTTTTCAAAACATGAATCTGCATGACAATGTGTATTGACCAGTATCTCGGTTGTTATTCAACATTTTTCTCCCAAATTTTAGTATGTTGTCGCTGAAACTATATGTTATCTAAATCACCCCTCATTTTTCCGATAAGATGTCAGAATCACGCTCATGATCATGATCATTATCATAATGATGATAATCATCCTCATCAACATCATGATCATCATCATAATCACTACTATCAAGATCGTCATCATAATCAGCATTGTTTACATGTCTATATAACTTCTCCCTTTTTCAATATAGTAAATATTTTAATCTATTATAAGACTTGAAGACAGACCACCTTATTCGTCTTCGTGACGAATTAAATTTCTAGTTATTATTATTATTTATTTTTATTTATTGTTCCCACTTTTTTTGTTCCGACGATAACTCACGATCAATTTAGTCAATTTCGTTCAATTTTGGCACAGTCATAGGTCATTGTCATAAGACGTGACAGAAACATTTTCAAGGTCATCAAGTCTTCATGACGTCATCCAGGCGCCATTTTGTGTTTTTTTTGGTACTTTTTACTCATGATCCTATCTTCATAACGGAAAGGCATTTCTCATTTATATTTATCATGATTAGGGTCAATATTCGTCTGGTCAGTTTCAGGTCAGAAAACGCGCGCGCATGCATACGTCCGCGCGTTAGTGCGCGCGCAAAAAATAAAAATGCTTTAAATCGTCTCAAATTAATTTTGCATACGTTTTAGGCCATTTTAAGCATTTTGCAAAAAAACGCGCACACGCGCATGGGCGCGCGTTTTCGCGTGTCCTGGCATTTGGCAACATTAAAACGCCAATTTTTTTTCCATCATCATATCTGACACATTCTTTAAAGCATTTTGATACCTTGTTCACCTTTTTCTGCTCATTAATAACGGAATGAGCATCCGTTTAAGATAATGTCCGTGCGTGCGAGCTCTTGTAATACATAGCATATATGGGCAAAAACATCCCATTTTAAAAATCGAAATAGCTCTTCAGATAGTCCATTGACCCCCAATTTTTATATCATGGTTGGAAAAAGCATGAGTTGGAGATATGATTTCATACCACCCTGACTCGTACAAAGTGAAACAAAGTCTTAATATTGGCATCTAAACTCCAAAAAATGTATTTTGTTGATGACGTCATTTTTGTCTTTGTTTAATTGAGATTATCTCACGTATCGGTGATCGATTTTCACCCAGATTTTAATATGTTGTAGCTGAGATAATTTTCTATCAGAAATTTGTCATATATTATCATTTAGATGACGTCATCATAGTATAATATTCGATTAAAGGCGGCAATGCATAATTTGTCATATTTGCGTGTTATGTCTATGGGAGGTCACTTTTTTCAAAACATGAATCTGCATGACAATGTGTTTTGACCAGTGTCTCGGTTGTTATTCAAAACAGTTTTCTACCAAATTTTAGTATGTTGTAGCTGAGACTATTTGCTATCTAAATTTTTCCTTATTTTTTCAATCAGATGTCAGGATCATGCTTATGCTCATCATCATCATCATTAACATTATCGTTTTTATCATCATACAACATTATCATTATCATCATCATCATCATCACCTTTACTATCATGATCATCATCATGGTCATCATGATCATCATTGTTTACATGTCTATATAACTTCTCCCATTCTCAATTCTATCATAAGACTTAGACAGACCACCTTATTCGTCTTCGTGACGAATTAAATTTCTAGTTATTATTATTATTATTATTATTATAAGCTCTGTAGAAGTACATGAATTTATTTTACATTCATAAATATAAATCTGTGTACACATTATGGTCATAGGATAACATTTGTAGCCTGCTCGGTTGCCGCTGGAATTGAGGCATCGCCCAACGATTTTTGGAAAAGTCAAGCAGGCTGTAGAGCACCAGCGATGCCTTGGCGGTGCTCTTTCGATTTTCCGTCGGACGCCTTTCGATTTTCTTAATCTTTCAACGCTTGAAAGTTTGAAACAGTAGCGGATTCAAGGGGGCTCCGGGGGCCAGCCCCCCCCCCCCCCTGGCAAAAAAAGGGACAAAAAGAAGGGGGAAAGGGGAAAGATTTTTGTTTTGTGTGCTAAAGAAAGCAACAACAAAAAAAAGTGTTCCTTCTTCCCCTCCTAAGCCACTAAACGAAATATCGGAGGACGTGATTTTCTAATTTCCGGGGCCATCTGACCGTGATTAAATGCCTAAAACCCCTGAGCTTATATCACCTAGGGCCCAAAGACAGGGACCTGGATGCTCATCTGCCGGTAATTTTATGCCTAAAACTCCTGACCTCCTGGGGGCTCCGCCCCCTGGACCCCACACCAATTAGTGACCTACCAGTTCCACAAATAAGGTATCAAAATATGCTCATCTGACCGTAATTTATTGCCCCAAACCCCTGAACTTCCGAGGGCTCCACCCTCTGGACACCACGGGAATTCGTGACTTGCCAGTGTCACAAATAAGCTATCAAAATATGCTCATCTGACGGTAAATTAATGTATACAACTCCTAAGTTTCTGGGGGCTCCGTCCCCTAGACCCCACACCAATTTATGACCTGCCAATGTCACAAAAAAGGTATCAAAATATGGTCATCTGACGGAATTTAATGTACAAAACCCCTGGTCTTCTGGGGGCTCCGCCCCCTAGACCCCACGCCAATTCGTGACCTGCCAATGTCACAAATAAGGTATAAAACATGCTCCTCTGATGATAATTTAATGTATATAACCACTGAGCTTTTGGGGGATCCGCCCCCTGGACATAACACCAATATATGACCTGCCAATGTCACCAAATTAGGTATCAAAATATGCTCACCTGACAGTAATTAAATGCCTATACGCCTTAGCTTCTGGGGGCTCCACCCCTTGAACCCGCCGAGAAACGTTCAGCGGGGCCTGCATGTTAGAGTGGGGTGATAGGGATTGTTTTTGTCTACCCCTCCCCCCCCCCCAAACGTTGTTGCCACTGCCGGTGTCACCATTTTACGTATCGATATTTGGCTCGCATAATTTCAAATTTGCCCCCCCCCCTCCCCCCTAAGATTTCCTGGATCCGCGCTTGGTTTGAAATGCTATATAGACCCATTTCATTGTTTTATGACGATTTACATTTACCTTGAATTTAGTCAAATTATAAAAATACAGTTGGGACAATTAAGGAATCGATTAGATCAATTTTTCCCAATCGTGATCATTAATAATGGTCGGTTTTCGCTCAAACTTTCAGATTATCTTTAAATGTACATTTGGCAAAATTTTTCAGGATTTTGTGCATGTTAGAGGGTGAGTACAGTAAAAGGAATATAATATGTAACAGTTTATACACAAATTATGCGTTTTTTTCATCGACCTCCAACAATGTTACCGACTTACTTTAAAGGAATGTAGCATAGCAAATACTGGTTAAAGCCATCTACGACTTTTTTTTAGACAACTGCACGTTAACGAATGGACTTGATTGACATACGCGAAACAGACCGAACTTCTCCTCACGCTTCAGTTTCGCGTACATTGCACGCACGTGAATACTGCGGCCGTGATACCCGATTGGTCCCGAATCAGGCCACTGAAAAGACACGTAGTGTCGCCATGATACACCCCCGTTATACTTCTGTTACTTTTCATGGTTTGTATATACCTAATGAATCTTTTTTTCTTACGAGAGACATGACAAAAATATATACATATAAATATAATTAAATAAACGACATATTTATCTCTTGTACGCCAGGACACGATGCGAGACAAGCCTCATAATGAACATCATCTGCATGGCCTTATACACCGAGTGTGCATTCGGTCAATCCAGTAGACGGTCGTCTACAGGTGGTGAAGTCAAAGTGGCTTCTTTCAATAAACGTATAGAACACAGGCGCACGAGTACGTTATTGCCTCGAACTATACCACGAAAACCGTCGCCTCTGATAATGACTGGATGGTCATTCAAAAAGACATTTCTTCGTGCCTTCACTCTACTAGTCGTTTTACCCTTCGTAGCAAGTGAAGGTAAAACACTAAACTCACAAAAGATATGAAACATATTTTTGTTTTTACCAAGTCGTTTGTGCTTTCATAATATAACCTTGTAAATTGCAGAATGTTCAAAGTCAATTAAAATAAGTCAATAGCTCTCCTCCCCCTCCCCCCCCCATTTTTAAAGAAGGTATGCCTGTTCAACACTTCGTTATCTTTGCCAAATTTGATGTGAGCCTCTCCATTTTCTCGTAATGGGATAAAAGTTACATCATTCTGATTCGGAAATATTTATTAGTATTTCTGGAATATACTTTAGATCGTTAATAAAATTATCTTATGAGTTATTTCGAAGATTCGTTTCACAATTTTAAATGGCAATTTATTTTGCAACTTTATCTTCCATCTTCTATGTGTACATTTTTACTGCCTCCAAATTGTTTTTCTCCTTCATAATTTCATTTTTCCTTCATTGATTTTATTAATAAATGTTACCATTTTTTTCCTGGATGAGCTAACTTAAATATTGAGCTCTTCTGTTCTTTTCATCTGGTTTAGTTACACATATATATTGCAGAGATGACGTCTTCTTTACATCTCCCAACTACCCTTCACATTATCCGAATAGAGCAAATGAGAATAGGTTAATCACGGCTCCTTATGGTAGCAGGATTCTCGTTACATTCAGTGACTTCAACGTGGAGGAAGAGGATTTTCTTTACCTGTTAGATAAAGTGGATAAGCAAAATTCCAAGCGATACACAGGGGAAGAAATGGAGTTCCCTCCTTTCTTGTCCAAAGGACATGAGTTGGATATGACATTCATATCCTTCCAATCATGCACGAGGAGGGGGTTCAACGTCTCGGCATCCTGCTACGATCAATCAAGTAATTGTAATTTTAAGCAAAACTGTTTCGAGACAATGCAGTAGATGAACAATTCAGACTAAGGGATAAGCTTTAGTTTTAGCCAGATACAAAGAGAGGAATGTTGTTAAAAGATTTTTACACAATATTTTGCTTCATTAATCATCATATGCTTTTGTTTTTTTAAACAAGAAATGCATCCAATACAAAATAATTTGGGCTTATAATTACTCGATGTTGTCTCTGATTTGTAAAAAAAAATGAAACGATACCCAAAAGATTACATGCCATAATAAGTGTATTTTTTTCAGGAGAAAACAAAGCTTGGTGAAAGGTTTTAAACGTAAATCGGGTTTCTGCTCGCTTCCTTAATTGCAGAAGAAACAAAATACACGGTTTTCAACTTGGTTGTAAATAATCGAATGTTGGTCAACGGTGAAGAAACTTTTCATCACCATCGGTTCCTCAACAAAACAGACATGTTTTAAAATTTACGTTGTAAAACTAATATTACTTTTAATTGATCTTTCCGCAAGTGTGGGTTATTTTACTCTTTCTTCTGTATTTTGATTTTGACTCTCTCTTTACAAGGGGATGCAAATGTGGCGCGAATTTTTGGCGGTAACTCACCAGGGAAGGGTTTCCTTGAGCTTCGTACTCAATCGGATGACTGGAGGAGAGTATGCAAAGACGGCTTTGATGAAAGGGTGACAGAGGTCGTCTGTGGAAAACTCGGCTATCCTGCTGTTAGGAAAGTTTCCTACGGGACTAATGACTGTTTGTCAGCTGGCCAAGATTGCATCAAGGCTCCCATCTGTAATGACTGTGAGTACTTCCATTACATCACGCCCAAAGCGCACTCGTATTGTCAAAAGGACTATCAAAACGATTACCTCAGAACTATCTAACCACCAAGTAAAACAATGTCCACTTGTTAAAATACCCTCCACGTTTTCGTCTTTATTGAAAGACAATTTGACTCCATTTAGTGATATGCAGTTCAGTGGAAATTTTTAATAGAGGTGGAGCTTTTGCAGGGGCCAAGAGCGTGCGGCCCTATATTTCAGATTTGCAAAATATCATAAGAAAGCAAAATAAGTATGCGCGCCTGATTAGTGTAGCCACTTTTCAAGTTTCTTTGATTCTCCACCGATTTTTTTTTCTTTATATGACAAACATAGGCTACCATTTTTTTGTACTCGATTTGTTTTCATGAGAGTTAAAACACAATGCATTCTTGAACTTTCGTTGAAAATTTGAACATATCAGGTAACAGGTAGCCCACTGGACCAAGAACCAAATATGACACCAAACGCAATGAAGTAGACAGCCCGTGAGTCTCACCAACCCTCAGAAAATCTTTGAAGGTCTTGCGCCGTCTTTCTCGCGGGTCGCCGATTTACTGGGCTTAAGCAGGTCTTGAAATAACTTTGCGCATAATTATATTTATCATAGTTTAGTTCAGGTATTGGTCAGGGGCGGATCCAGGGGGGGTTCGGCGGTTAACCCCCCCCCCCCCCACCTTAGGCGCCAAAGTGAAGAAAAAAGAAGGGGGAGAAGGGAAAAAAGAAGAAGAAACCAAAAAGTAAAACGGCGCGATTATTGGGAAATCCTGGATCCACCACTCACTGGGTCAACCCCCCCCCTCCCTTGGCATAAAGCTATATCCGCCCCTGTTGGTGATACAAACTGACCAGTATCATAGGTTGAATTGGTCAGTTTACAAGTAGAATAATATACTAATGTATTATATGCACGTTAATATGCATAAATAATAACACATACGTAAAGTGTGAGTATAGGCGTACATCTCTTTTCTAATTAAGACAAACTCTACTATTTTGTTGTTGATATTTAATAATGTATTAATAATAATAATAATAATAATATCGAATATTTAGGAGCGCTAAAAACAATAAGTACCATAGCGCTTACAAATACAAATATATGTAAAGAGGACAAGAAAGTACAGTACAGGAAGTATATCACATAGATCATTGTATGCGTGTTGAATCTTCTAAATCAATAGTGTACGCGTAACTCTGTGTTTGTTTCAAATGCGCTTTAACATTCCATTTACAAAGACTGAAAAAAACAAATGAAAACGGAGTGTTTCTTTACCCACATGTTCACAGACACATTCCGTTTAGAGGATTGTTCCTGGTCGTCTGGAAACTGCTTCTCCGCTGATGCGGTCAAAGTTGAGTGCTATGGTAAGGCAGATTATTTTATATATTTTTATAAAAACAACTGTTTAGTCGTTTCATAAAATGCAATCAGCTGTATGAATTCAGCACGTTATGACCTACAGAAATATTTAAAAAGAGTATGAAATTCCAAATGAAAGAAGGAAATTATATGCTGAAATGGAAATGGCATATTCAAAAGTTGTGGAGGCAAGAGTCGAATGACATGAATAAATTGTATCTTTTAGTGTTTGGTGTTTCTGAAAAATGTCGTTCTCCAGAACCAGGATTTAAGGGTTGCTATCACCCGGAAGATCTTCCACAACAAAACGGATTTGTCTTTGAATCGACCTCACAGTGTGTATCGTCATGTAGAGCGATCACAAGAGAGGCTCTCGCTATAACGAATGGAACACAGTGCTTCTGTTCTACCTCTGATGAAGTCAACCTTCCTAACATAACCCCTGAACCATGCAACCAATCTACACAGGATACTCGACTAGTTATCAACTCATTGGTTTATGACGGTTAGTCTGCTTACACGCGTTTGTCCACAAATAATGGATGGAGTTTTTGTGGCATTTCATATGCGCATACCATACATGATACAATAGCAAAGTGCCTTGTTTTTTGTTTTTGTTTTTCTGTAGCTGTTGATAATAGATAATGCATTTAAATGAAATTAAATGTAATTTGGCAGTAATAAACATAATACAATGTCAGTTTTATACTATGTGGTTTCTTTGTCGCTTTAAAAAAACTAAATGATAGTCATTAATATTTTGTTTTTTTTATAATGATTATTCTAAAGTTTCCGTTGGATTCTGCGATGAGCTGGATGACGTCATTCATGGATCACGGGATTCTTACATCACGTGGTTTGGTTCCATTGTTCATCTCACGTGTGATGATGGATACAGACTAAATGGAGGTGGAACCCTTCTGTGTGTTCCAGGACTATCGCCGTATTATCCCGAATGGAATGGTTCCGTACCAACATGTGACATGCTTGAAGGTAAGAGGCATATATAGCACTTGCTACGATGCATGATCACATTTTTTTCTGCATTTTATGCTAACAGCAAATCAGATATTGGTCTCTTGCTCACCCTCCTTCTTTGTATGAGATCATACACATGCGAGCTTTTCTCTTTATAAAATGACATCAGCATATTTATTAACGTGTGTTTATGTGTGTGTGTGTGTGTGTGTTTGTGTAATATACATGTATACATTGCTATTGCTTGGTGATAATTATGTACACCCGACAACGCCCCCTCCCCCACGCTTAGAGACTTTGGTGGTAAGCGCTTTATAAGTAACGTTTTTGTTATTATATGTACTATATATATTAATTGCCATCAAGAATATTACAATATATATATATAATATATATATATATATATATATATGTTTGTGGACAAAATGTCTAGAGTTCTGCTTACATAAATATATAAGGGGGTATAATTAATGATGTACTATTTATCTATTCATTAATATGAATTTGGATCTCAAGATATGAAGTTACATTTAACACGCCACACCCAGGTGAGATAAATGGGTACCTGGCAGGAATTAATTCCTTATATAATGTTCCACTGTTGTATTGTCAGCCGTGCTTAAACCAGGGTAATAACAATGCAGCGGCAGGACCGGCGATTCGCCAGACATGAACGCTATACAAGACTCGTATATTTTTATTATTAGTATTATTATTAGTAGTAGTAGTAGTATTATTATTTTTATCATCATTATTATTATTATTATCATTGTTATTATTATTATTATCGAACTCGATTACCTATTAAAGATACGCAATGTAACGATGTTCATTGTAAACTGATTCGAACTTACTGCGTACAACATTAGGTTTGTGAAGCTTTGAGGCACCACATTTGTAGTTCAGGATTGTAATGCAATACCATCTATAAATTTGTTTAGTAGGCACTGAATGGTTTCCTACCACGCAGCACACGGAAGGTATGTATTGTATTTTAGATTATATAAAATTTAAAATCATGCCAAATGGAGTTAATAAATGGGTACGAGTAAAATACAAATTCTCATCAAGAAATATCGGGGCTGTTTATTTAGGCATAACCATAATAAAATACCTTACCCGCTTAACCACAGAAACAAATTACATTTTTGCCAAAATATTAAACACTGCGTATTTTGGATCGCGTTTTCAATCACCCGGGTTTTTTTTTCTACATAAATCCTTATGCGTGTTTAATTTTTTAAATGTATTTTTATTTCAAAATGTTATTTTACATTGTCTTGCTTAAATTTAAAGGTTTAGCATTTATTTTGGCATGTAAAATACCAGTGGAGTGAAATCTTCCCCAACCATGTTTCTCCCCTGAAAAGTCATATGAGGGTTCTAGCGATCAACATTACTTGATACCGTCGAACCAAGAGGATAAAGCCCACAAGACCGATATGATGGTCTCAATCACCTTCTGCACAAATTAGATATGATCTTCAATAAACGAACATTGTCAATCTTGCGGACTTAGTCTGCTGGGATGGTCCTGTCCTGTATTTGTCTTTAAAAATGTTAGCATTATAGCATTGTTGAATTATGGAAATGATGTCATAGGCACGTATGTTTGCCCTAGGTGCTGAAAGTGTAAGCTTTCATAAGGGTTTTTGTCAACCATTCCCTTTCTGCAATGTGAACATTTACGTAATGCTAATTTCATTATATGGCATCATTAGTTCAACATGTAATACTCAGTGGTGTATATGTGGGGTGACAGAGGGGGCACGTGCTGCGGATGGCACTTGAACAGCCGCCAAAAATGAGGAAAAGGATGAAAATAATCATGATCCTAATTACATAAATGAATTATCATTTGAGAAAGAACTCGATAGAAGACAACATGTACTTCACCCGCATAATAATGTTCAAAATTCCAGCCGATAATTGTTAATGTTCCAATATTTGGGCAGCGAGTTTAATAGCCAGATTGAATTGATTGCGATGCCGAAGTATCATTTTTTTTGTTTTTTGTTTTTTTGGCTCGCTCGCTTCGCTCTCTCGTGACATTTATAAGCACGATGTTTATTCAGCCACCAGTCCTGTCCCTTCCCCTCTTCTTGTTTGCTTGCTCAAGTCGCTCAGTCGTGAAATTTAAAAAACAGGATGTTTGAAATTTACCCATCACGCTTCAACCAGGGAAGTGAAAGAGAGGAGTGGAAACTCGTGTAATTTATTCAAACGCATTCGTGAGTTCTAAAACGTAACAATAGGATGTGTAACATTCCACTTGGCTTTGAAGTTCCATGCTCCGAGCCGCGCTTCCACTGCGGGAAATTTCAGAGGCCAGGGACCAGTTTCACATTTCAGTATTACAAAATATTACATTACCGGTAAAATTTAAGCGTAAATTATAAACTTTATATGGGGATTGTATTGGGAATAGTGCATCAAACAATTCTTCCAATTTAGTACTCCGCCCTTCCTATAAATTTTGTGCAAGAGTTGGTAAACGAAAAAGTAGATCCTGACAAGAACTCAATATTTTAGGACAATGCGCTAATATGTGCATGTTTTAATGTCCCGTTATTTAATCCATGATTTACAATCTTCGATAACTTTAAGTTTGCTAATGCGTGATTTCGCATGTTTTTTATTTTTGCAGTTGAAAAAAAGGATGAAATTACACAAGTTTGTGTTCGCTTGTTTTACTCATTACACAGCCAACTATTGATGAGAAATCATTGAAAGGGACAGTGAGCAGTTGCTGATGTAGGAATTCTAAATCCTGAAATTTCATGCGCTCTTTTATCTCACCACCTGGTCAAATTTTCGGCGGCTTGGAGCATGGGGTCAAAGGAAAGCGGCTTGATTCCACTCCTTTCTATCACCTCCCTGCTTCAACAACCCACTCCTGAAAATATTCCCAAATGCCTATGATGTTAGCACTCCCATGTGAATGTTTATATGGGTAAATGCATACGAAATTCTGGTAATTGTTTGTTCCCAATAAACAGAACACCAAAAAGTAACCTCTTTTGGGAGTGTATTTTAAGTGATTTTAAAGTATAGTGCCTTTTGAACTAGATTTAAACGTTATCGACACGTGCCTTCATTTAAAGATAAAAGGTACTCCTGTTCACGTTTTCATCTAACCTAAAAACCACCAGTTTATCACGCGACTGGAGTAACGTGATTCCACTTACCTCTGTAAATCAAGTGAGTTTATGACCAAATAACCGCTTGACCAAGCAACGAGTTTTTTGTCAGTTAACCGATGGTGGCGATAAATACGTAATTATTTGGTCTTGTAAGCACCTTTATTTATTGGTTTCACAGGTTATCCAAGGTTGATGGTAATAATCACGTTACTTACACCGGCTAATAGTCTTATTGTTCTGTCCGTGAATCTCTGGTTATATTCAACTAGTAATTCTGAGATGTCTTACACGCCTCTTTAAAAGGTTTCAAAGTTACCATAAATTTCTTGGTTATGATCACGTGGCTCAAGCTGATTACTAATCTAAGCTGTGAAAACGTGATATGTAGGTGTGAAAATTAGTAATTATTAAGTGTTTTAAAACACCTTTTTAAATGGTAGTCAAAGTTGCCATAGGTTCCGCGGTGATGATCTCGTGACTCAAACGGATTATTGATCTAAGCTTGTCATACGTGACTTTTAGGAGTGAAAAATTAGTCATTATTAGGTGTCTTAAAACACCTATTTAAATGGTTTCAAAGTTACCATAACTTTCTTGGTGATGATCACGTAGTTAAAACTGATTACTAATCTAAGCTGTGAATCCGTGATATTTAGGTGTGAAAAATTAGTCATTATTAGGTGTATTAAAATACCTATTTAAATGGAAGTCAAAGTTGCCATAAGTTCCGCGGTGATGATCTCGTGACTCAAACGGATTATTAATCTAAGCTGGGCATACGTGACTTTTAGGTGTGAAAAATTAGTCATGATTAGGTGTCTTAAAACACCTATTTAAATCGTAGTCAAAGTTACCGGCAGTTCCGCGGTGATGATCGCGTGACTCAAACGGATTATTAATATAAGCTGGGTATTCCGTGTTTTCCATGTGTGAAAATGAGTTATTCGTGGGTGTCTTGATGGTTTCACAGTTACTATTTAAGTTCCGTGGTGATAATCCCGTGACTGTTGGCATATTTCTATGTTCACCAGTTGATAACTGACTCTTGGCATATTTTCATTGCACCAGTTGATAACTGGAGTGTGCACATTTCCAGTTGCACCAGTTGATGACTGAGCGTTGGCATATTTCGAGTTGACCCAGCTGACACCAATTCATTTGCATATTGAATATGGGGTGCGTGCAGATCTATGTTTTTTAAACAATTTATCTGAATTTACAGCATATTTCTTAATTACTGATGATTTAGTTATATGCAATTCATTTCGAAAATACTACAAATGCAAATTACCAGTTATTAGGACATTTCGCTACTTCGTATAAATAGTTAAACATGAATAAGGGAAACATTAACTGTGAACTAAAATAATTTCAATAAAGTACAAGTACACGAATTTTTTCGATTAATTCAATTATGTAAGTCTACTTATTACCAATGCCCTTACATTGGAAATACAGAAGTACCAGTATTGAAGTATTGTTGCTGTTCAACTGGTTGGAAGTTTTACCAAATGGTTCTAATGGCTCAGCTAGACCAGTTGAATTATAACTGGCCTGGATCAACTGGATCATTTAGCCCATTTCAATTTCCAGGGTTACCAGTTGGCATTAAAAATGGTTCATCAACTGGACCAGTTGCAACTAGCTTTCTCTTTTGGGATGTTTGCACCCCAACCCCCTCTGATCCCAAACTGCTTCCGGCGCGCCTGGACGTAATTATGAAAGATCCCAGACACGATGTTCAGAAACGGGATGAGAACGTCATTATTTTGGTTCATTTATTGTGTAACATTTGCGTAATTATTGGGTTGAACGCGGGTTACAGTAACATACTTCCTCTTCGACGTAAATTTCACGTGAATGAAGAACATGATTCATCTCAAGTCAGCCTCGTAATATTCACGTGAATTTCACGCAGATATTTTGACTAAAACTATCATTAACGCTTCACGTGTTTCTGTGACGCGATAATTTCGTGTATGAAGATGTAATTTCATAACGAAACAAACACGGGAGTATTAGGTTTACAAACCATGGTCTCCAAGGTAGGGATAATCACGTTATTATAATGGTGATATTGCAGTGACAATTGCGTGATTTAGTGTACGTGTGTTTTAAGTTACCTAATGCAATAAACGTATTAACACATTTACGTAAATGTACGGTGTTTGAAGAACGTAACTCTCCTCAAGTCGATACCTTGATATTGACGTGATTTTCACGTGATTTTGTTTATTGGGTTATTCTAAACATGCAAAACGACACTATGATTAAATCTACCAACAACAAAAGAAATCAATCAGGTTTTTTTTTTTTTTTTCCTTTTTTCATTGACAAGACATTTCAACAAAATACGCCTGTTCTTTCATCTGGTTCGGAAAAGTTTTATTTCGTAGAAAAATTTAATTTCAGTGTAGGGTATACAAATATTTGATTGCAATAAACACCATGATAGCTATACCCCGTACTGAATTAAGTGTTAAATGATTTTACCCTTTTATTATCCTTTTTAAGATATTATACTGGAAATGTGTAATTTGGTGTTCAAATTAAAACTGTAAACACGTTTTGGTTTTATTCCTTTACACACTATTTATAGACATTACTTTCATCGATTATGAAGACGATACATCAACGGTAAAAGGTTAGTGCAATTTAACTCTTGACATGATCATCTGAAACTATGAAAGCTGAGATCTCATTGAAAAACAATTTCGTTTTCTCTCATAATAGGACTCATTTGAGGAAGTGGACGTTGGACAAAACTTATATATTAATTCTCATCATGAATAACTATTGTCAAATTGACAAAAGACTTTCGTTTTATCAACTTTTTTCAATAAAAACAAATATGAATAATATTTTTTGTTAGCAAGATAAGGGAAAATATATGGATTCATCTGTTGATAATAGATCGCACTCCATAAAGATATATATATCTTGATAAATATTATCAATAATCCAGTCATGCGTCACCTTAATATCCCAGTCTCATACAATCCGAAACATACATTACATTGCATTGCCAAGAACATGTCAGATTGGAATTGGTTTCGAGATGTGACTGAAGTATAATAGTTCTCTGTGATAAATTAAATGAAGAATTGAAAATAGATCAATAATTATACCTTTAACTGTATATATTTTAAATCATGAAGATTGTCAACCCAGCATGAAATCTACCATCTTAAAACCCGTGCTCATGGGATCTACGTATGGCCTGGCAGCTATCATTCTCATCATATTGATATACTGGATCACAACTCAAGTCAGACAGCATCTCTCTTCAAAGAGACAAGACCCTGCCTCACAGGTAATGCCAAAATCCCCCCTTCCAACTTGCAAGACTTTCCCCTATCAATACGGCTGCTCTCTTCGCCTCGCTGCGCTATCATTCGTTTTGCACACGGTCAAGTTTGCACAAAACAAATAAGCACCAACTAAAGGATGGAAAACTACGTGCAAGATAAAGGCCAATTCCGGTTCCTGATTAGCTCCAGGACTACCCTTTTAACAACTGCATAGATTAATCTTGCACTGGAAACAGTAAATCATTTTGAAGCCTTTGGTATATTTATCCCATGATACATATAAGGCGGACATGGAGATTATTTGTGTAGAATATAAGGAGTTCAAGTCATAAACATCAACAATGGGGATCATGAATACGAGTAAACAATAGTCAGACAATGATTATCACGGGCTAATCGTTATGGCAGAGAAAAACACAAATGAAAGACATGTTTAATTCCTGTGATATAAGTAATTTAGGTTAAATATTATCGTGTTGTCACGCTGCCAACACTCCCTAAACATTTTCCCAACTGGAAACGCATTTTAAATAATTTTTCTTTGAGATTATTTTGATATGTTTTTTTCCCAATTCATAATACTTTTGACAAACTAATGCACTTTATTTAAATTAAAAAAAAAAAATCTAATCTTGATTTAGCAATTGAGCCAATAACACTTATCGTCCATCCGAATAATAGGTTGGTACATAATCCAAACAACTTTTTTTGGTTTGTTGAAAGTGCTCAAACGTATATCCGGATCCTCGCAAGGTAGAGGCAATCAAGTCAATGTCTGCACCTGAGAACAAGAGCTAGCTTCGTGAGTTCCTTGGTATGATAACTTACCTTAGCCCATTCATACCGGATCTTTCAGCCCAGACTGCAAGCCTACGTGGTCTTTTGAAGCAGGACGCTGAATTCCAATGGACTCCAACGCACCAGACTGCCTTCAATGATCCACGTGACAAGGTATGTCACGATGCAACTCGGGCGTACTTCGATGTTAGCAAACCTACGGTACTGCAGGTAGATGCTTCTCTGCCGGGCTTGGGAGCGACTCTCCTACAGGATGGGAAGGGTATCGCATTTGCGTCGAAGGCCACCAGTGATGAAGAGACGAGGTACGCCAACATAGAGAGAGAGCTGCTTGCAGTGGTCTTCGGCTGTAAACGATTCCACATCTTCCTGTACGGGAAAAGTTTCACAGTTGAGACGGACAAGCCCCTGGAAATGATCCAGCATATAAGCACCTTGCAGCGGCTCAACCTAGACTACGGCGTATGCTTCTCCGTCTACAGCCATACAAGCTGTCTACAAGCCTGGTAAGGATGTACCGGTAGCTGACTGCCTATCCAGACGTCATCTTGGTCCTCCAGAACACATCCACCTTGTCCTGCAAATCAACTTTGTACAGTTTGCTCCAGACCGTTGAGTCAGTTGAAGGACGAAACAGCCAAGGATGCAGAGTTTGCAGCACTACAGAAGGTGATTGTGAAAGGGTGGCCAGAGAAGAGACGTGAGCTACCACGGCAGCTGCAGAGATACTGGGCCTTTCGAGATCAACTTGCAGTTGAGGATGGACTGATCCTGAATGGTGAACGAATCCTTATTCCACACTCCATGAGGAAGTACAAACCGAACAAGCTTCACGAAGGTCATCAAGGTATCGAGAAGACACGATTTCGGGATAAGGCTTCTGTGTACTGGGAATCGATCAATGACGACATCGAGGCCCTGGTGAAAGGCTGCTCAGTCTGCCAAGAGTACAAGCCCTCGCAGCCCCATGAGACTCTTCTCCAGCACGAGATACCTACACGACCTTGGCAAGTCATGGGTACAGACTTATTTCACCTTGAAGGGAACAATTATCTCATCATTGCAGATTACTTCTCAAAGTTCCCTTTCATCCGGAAAATGCCTCACGAGTGTACCAGTGCTGCAGTAGTCAACGCAACCCGTCAGTTATTCGCAGAATAAGGAGTTCCGGAAAGAATCGTTAGCGACAACGGAAGACATTTTGACTCCTCAACATACAGAGACTTTGCTACACAGTGGGGATTCAGCCATGTTACATTTTCTCCCCGATAACCCAGGTCAAATGGCGTCATTGAGCGAATGATCCAAACTGTCAAGAACACGCTCAAGAAAGCTAAAGCGAGTGGTATCGACCCCAACATGGCTCTACTATGTATCCGTGCCACTCCCATTGACAGCCGCATACCAAGCTCAGCTGAGCTTCTTTACGGGAGGAAGATGAAGGACAACTTACCAACTCGAATCCGCAACAACTCCCCAGGTCGTGATGATTTTTACCATCGTATGCAGCTTCGACAACAGAGCCAGAAGTATCATCATGAAAAATCAGCCCATGACCTAGCATCACTCCCACCTGGACAACTTGTGAGAGTCCAGGACCAGACATCACGTCACTGGATAACAGCTACTGTTCGTGAGCAATGCCATGAGCCTAGGTCATACCTCGTCGAGACGCCTAATGGAAGGGTGCTACGCTGAAATCGGCAACACCTCGCTGATATTGAGCCCAGGCGTATCCATCATGATGAGGAGGTAACCAAGACACCCGACCCTCCTACACGTGAAGAGATGACGCTTGATCCAACCTCCGATGTCGGGCGTTCTCCAACCCCAACCCCCTGTGCCAGCCCTCCGGCTGAAATAAGCCACCAGCAGACTACCCGCAGTGGCCGTGTGATCAAGAAGCCTGAGAAGTTAACTTATTGATAGGTTTTTGGAAGATAACAAAAAGGCAAATCTTTTGCCATTCGGTTTATATAGGGTTTTATGTTGTAACTTGGACAATAATAGTTTTGGTGGACTTTTAAATACACCTGATTACATAACACTGATCTCGATCTGAAGGACTTCATCTCTGGATATCTCAAGTTTGGACAGTATTGACTCAGTTTATTATTCTGTAAGGGGGATGTAATATGTGATCTTATACATTGACTCAATGCTACATGCTATACATACATATACACAGTTAATGTACACTGTGGTGTATGGCTCTTCTATACCCAATATAACCAGCCATGCTGGATTTAAACCTAAATTTGATGTTTCTCTATGTGTCTTCATTTGAGTACTAACCAACCCCACATTATATAGAATAAACGTTTTGAAACTAATTATGGTATAATTGTAATGATAACATTGTTTTCCATAATAAAGTACACGAAGTACACATGCAATTTGATTGGTTTTTGTTTAGTTTAAGGGTGTGAGAAAGATATAAACATTAAATAATGTCGGTAAAACCAAACTATTTCGGAAAGCAAAACATACTTTATCGTCAGATATTCAAACATTAATCTTCTGAATTTCTGACATGGTGCCTCATAAAGTTAAAGGAAAGTTTGAACCCCTTCTTCGTAATCGAGACGTTAACAAGATACATAACGTTTGGACAATTTTAACCAGTCTGTTTCCCACTGTGCCCAGTGTCAATATAGATTTGTAACTTGTGCCGAGTACAAATAAATAGATAGAGTATGAGTGAGCCCTTTTCAAGACCAACCAACCCTTTCGAAATAATACGTGGTGTTACCGCAAACATCGCTAATTAAAAGAAAGATGATATTGTCCTTGAATTAACAAAAAGGCGGGAAAAGATGCACCAGGCATTTCCACAGCTTACATTTCATTTAATTTCCACATCTCCAATAGATTTCCCACACTACGTTGGACATGACGCGGCCCGTCCAGGGAAGCAACGCTGACGTAAGACCGGCAGCTTCAGCTCGTATACTAGCTGGCAGCCAAGAGGTTGCGGTTGGTCGGGTGACGATCAGAACGGATTCTGTCTTGTACGAGACCATCCCTGACGTAACAATCGCTGGACCATCTAAAAGAACAGAAGGCGAGCAGAATACGGAGGAGGGTGCCGTTGGATACATCAATCACAATCCACAACCGAATTGGAATAAAATGGCCACAGCTGATGGCGCTTGGAATCCTTGAAGATATCCACAATCGCAAGTTCAAAGGCAACATGAATTAGATACAGGTGGATACCTTGTGCCAAACGTATTGCAACGAAATTAACCTCTCTCCTCGTTGCTATAACATGTTTATGTACGGGCCTGTCTGGAGTAGGGCCTGAACGAGACTATATGGAAGGTCATGTGGAAAGTACTTTTTTGTCAATGGAATGCTCCTTCATTTGTAAATGTTTGGCAGGGCGGTCATCAGATAATATATTTTCGTGCAAAGATAAGAAAACATAATACTGTGAGGATAGGAAAGAGAGTATTGCCATGTTAAATCCACTTAAGAAAATAACAAACCAAAACAAAACAAGAAACACAATGAGTAAGAAAGGTCCATTGATTGCTTTTATCAAAATCAGGTGAACCATTTCTGAATAGTTTTGTATTAAAATTGAATGTTCGTCATTGGAACAAGATAATGCTTCATGGCAATACATTCCTTCAAGGTATGCCTCATTACGTACTAATCGCTATTTCAGAGTTATTTGATGAATATAAAATTTAGAATTACAAACAAATGAATCATATTTACAGATGAATAAATACATAAGACAAGTGAAATCATTTTAACATTGGAACATTTGAAATGTTTCACCAAATTTAAATACATGTACATGTATTCTGGCTGATCTACGTCTACGTACACTTTTCGGAAATTCTTCTAATTTTATAAACGAATTGCATAATGCCCACCGTTAAACTGTTATATGTAAGAGCACTGTTTTTCTTCACTGCGAGGCCCGTGCAGGTAAGGGAGACATTTAAGACACTTCCCAACAAGAGCAATATAAATAAATGCAAGAAAGTCGTTAAATGCTCGTTTATATGTGATTGTGATAAATGCCACCTTCCAAAAACATTTGTTTCGCAAAACGGAGCGAACAGACGGCGAAACGATGGCACATACACAACAATTTAGACAGGTTGCTATTAGATTCAACTTTGTAGAGGGATATTTGGTAAACCAAATTCTCACCCAAGTTGGTCAACAATGTCAGCAAAGCGTCATAGGAGAATAGGAGAAACAGCTGGAACTATAAGTGAGACTTGTCCAAATTGCCAACAGAGTCAGAACAGCCCCATAGCAGCACGAATCCATCCATGGGAGTTTCCTGCAGTAGAATTTATTATGACTACCTTACCATTGGTAATGAGAACATTTGGCTTAAAGCTATCCATGTGAAAAGAGCAAAAGCCATAAACAGATGCCCTGACGCATTGTTTGCAACTTACAAATTACCAGAATAATAGTGGGGTGACCGACAATGATACTCAGTTGGTATCAGAGAAACCTTCCTAGTTGAAAAGCACTTACAGCATCCGTCATATCCAACAGTCACCCAAGCACCCATCCAGTATTGGTCTTGCTGAAAGAGGTGTACAGACAGTGAAATTAGGGATGAAAAACAAAACATGGGCATGGCTTTGAATTTAAGTGTGACTATCTGTCAAGAATTATCTGTCACATCAGCAGTTTTTGTTTAAAAACAGAGTCAAAAATAGGCCGGTCGATTTGCTTCTTTGCTGCTCAGATGACGCTTTGTATCACTAATCTAAAAAACAGTAAAGTAACTATAAATCTGTAAGTAACTTAACAGATTTGTGGAACACACAGGGTAATAGTTTGGAAGCAACTAGATATAAAGGCAAGCCTGACCCGTATATGAAGAGCTTGATTCCAAAAGGAGCTAAATCCATATTTTATCAAAATGGAGTTATTTGTCTTAAAATAATGTTATCCTACATGGGGACAAAATGCACTATATCACATTCGAAAATTTCACAAGGAAGTATGAAAAAACTTAGGTACAATATCATGTTTCATTCCAAAAGGAGCTAAATCCAAATCGGTTTCATTCCAAAAGGAGCTAAATCCACTTTGGGTAATTCTGAGGAAATCACCTTTTTTATTTCTCCACTTTCCCTTTAGTTATGTACCTTCATGTTGTTATATATGTTAAAGGTGTCGCCCTGGACCAATAATATATGATAAGAAAAAAAAAATCTACCAGTTATTTGTGATTTTTAGTAAATTTTCAGATTTTGTGGATTTAGCTCCTTTTGGAATGGACATGGATTTAGCTCCTTTTGGAATAAAACGGATTTAGCTCCTTTTGGAATGAAAATGTGATATGTTGTTTACTTTCTTTTCAAAAGGTGTTTTTAGTTGCGATTTCACTATTATTATTTAAAAGGAAAGGTTTGCTACTAAATTTGAATACATTTTAGTGACTTAATTGAGAAAATATGAAATTTTCCAGGTACAATATCATGTTTCATTCCAAAAGGAGCTAAATCCACGAAAACAAAAATTCTAAAAATTTAGTAAAAATCAGGGAAAACTGGTAGATTTTTTCTTATCATATATTATTGGTCCAGGGTGACACCTTTAAAATATATAACAACACTAAGGTCCATGGCTAAAGGGAAAGTGGAGAAGAAAAAAAAAGGTGATTTACTCAGAAGTACCCAAAGTGGATTTAGCTCCTTTTGGAATGAAACTCTTCATATATGTATGTATATATATATATATAAATAGTGATTAAAACAATAGAATGTAGTAATAAGATCGTATGAATTAATTTGAAACAGTAATATCACATTGAAAATCACAATGATCTTTATTCCAACTGTTTAATTACCATTTCTAAAACCGTAATGGAGTAATTTTCTAATTGAATTTGTTTTTATATGTGATAAACACATATATACGCCTCTATATATATATATATACACACACTCTTATAAGAAAGACTGTCATTCCCAAAAGGACAAAATTCGCTTTTAGCTTTTTGTTGTATATATTATGTACATTTAATTTTAACTGTTCCTTAAAAAAAACGCTTCAGATACTTTCTTCCAGAAGGAATTAAATACGGAAATGTTCACTAAAATGTATTACAAAATTGCACTGATTGTCAAATATGGATGGCTTAGTCGCCATATCTACAATAATCGAAATTTAGCTTAAGGACACGAGGTTTAAATGAACAAATTCGTAACCACCGTACGGGATGTAGTCCGTTTCGGAATGAAACGATTTTAATGTAATCCCCTGTGCAATGAAAAATGAGTCTATGAACGACATATTGTATTTCGAAAATCATTCTTTAAATTCAATACATCATGCATGGTTTCCAATGTGTCAGATCCACATATTCATCTTAAATCTGTTTTAGTAAAAAGTGGATTATCATTAACCGCCGTTTCAAATCAAAAGAAATTGATACAATTTAAGCCAATTAAAAACAAAGAGGCAAGCCAGTAACTTAAATGCACCAGTAGAAGATATGTTAGCATAAATAGTTGGAGTTCACCCGTATAGGCATTTACAATATTTGATATAATACTTGAATTGGGACTGCGTAATACCGTATTTTAATCATCTTAATTAGTTTGTTTTTTGTCCCCGCAGAGACAACCACCTTTCTCTCTCCCTCTCTGTCTCTTTCTCTCTCTCTCTCCCTCTACCCGCTCCCTCTGAATTCTTCTTCTCTTTCTGCTGTTTCCCCCTTTTTTCTTTATGTATCATCCTCATCTTGTCATTCTGCTTCTGTTTCTGATTTGTTTTTTGTCTCGTTAATTGTTTGTTTTTATCGTCTGTCATGTCTTTTTGATTCCGTAATTTTTTTCCAAGATTAAGTTATAAATGTATAAAATTTGTGCAAACCTACACCTAACAATCATTGCTTTCAAGTAGGTTCATTTTTTTTCTTCTTCATTTCCTGTAACAAAATAAATTTGCATTACAAAGATATTTCAATACTCATTTCTGTTATATACTTTTATTATTGTCTGTCGATGTTTATATAATTTGAAAAGAAATGAAAAATAAATTTGCTCTGTATAGAGCAACTACTACTACTACTACTACTACTACTACTATTATCAAGACCAGACTATTCAAAAATGACAACCAGAGGTGTCGCTAAAGAGGGGTGTGGGGTGCAACATGCCCCCCCCCCCCTCCATCAGGATTGTGTTGGTGAAATTGCAAAATGAGAAACAGGGGAGAGATAAAAATGAGAGGGAAAGAAAAAGAAAAGAAAAAAAAGGAAAATAACTGAAAGAAAGGAAATAGAAGAGAAGAGAAGAAAGAAATATAACATATGGCTCCGTTTAGTCTCATTTCACAACGCCACCTATCGTCAGAGCATGGTCAGATTCAGCAGCCTATAACATGTTAGCCTATGGACGTTTTTTTTTCAAAAATCGTTAAAAATTCATTTTTTGTTTAAACGAAAAGCACATCCACCCCGACGTACGTTATCACTAGCTCTTTCATTGGAGCCCTCATGTCTCATTGACTTTTGAAAGTTCACCCACCGTAATTTTTCAAAATAGGTTGCAAGCTCGTCATTGCCTATAATACACATGTGAAACAAGTCTAACTTTGGACTCAGTTTACCAAGCGATTTGAAGATTATAGGTCGAGCACACGAAACATAAAATGCATGAATTATCATAGATCACTTCTGCCTATTTCGTTTTGTCCATTTCATCCAACCCCCCACCGTAATTTTTCCATTTAGTAAAAGCAAACATTTTGCCGAGTTTAGCAAAAACATGAATATTCATGAACGGTCAGACAATACAGCCTTTCAGTACGTAACGTATAGTGAATGGGAATGTGCGATGATCCATGAAGGAGGTAGAGGTCAGTGGTTTGTGCTGGCAATGTTCACGCGAGCGAAAATGAGACAATCGGAGCAATATGAAAAAGAAAAAGAGAAAGGAGAGGGGAAAAAGAAAAAGAAAAGAAACAAAAGAAACAAAAGAAACGGGAAGATGAAAGAGAGGAGAAAGAGGGGGTAGAATCATAATAGAGGAGAGGGTTGGAGTTAGAGAAAGAGGGGGTTGTTGGGTGGAGTCGTCTCGTCGAGGGAGCAAGAAAGATACGCAAAGATTTGTTGCTTTGTCCGTTTTATTTTAACAGAGTAGCCTCGTCAGTAATCAAAGTACTGTTTTCCAGGGGGCCCTGAAAACAATT